CCCTTTGTAATTATGAAATACTCTGGGGGTGATATTTTGAGACCACATGCCTCTCTTGTTTTCCAACATTTTGCTGCCATAGGAACAACCCAGCCTGGCGAGTCCCCACCAGCACGCTTGTGTCAGCCATTAGCACGTGACATTTCAGCAGGAGCTTGAAGAACTCAGGGCTCTCTGAAAATATAGGAGTTATCTGACATCTATAGTTGATTAACTGCATTTAATAATAAAACCTCCAGTAAAAACCGTTAGCTTGTGGGAAATAACTAGGTTCCCCTTGACGTGGCCAACGAAGAAATACTGGTAAATAACTCATTATTGCTATTATTATTCAAAAGAAACGGGTAACTGTTATGGTCAGGTTTCCTGCCCCTGCCCAAATATTATTCACTAAGCATTGGTCCTGTTTTCTTTGTGTTTCGTCTTTGAATGCTGAGGAAGAATTGCTAGACAGAAGACTCTGTGGGGGGCACGGGTAATCAAATCCCCTTAGAATTGTCTGCCATAACTCCAGATTGGGCAGATTAATGTTGGATTTTATTTTTAAAAGCCATACTGTGGTAGCTTTTACATGAATGTAGTCCCCGTTACCGAGTGTAAACAGGAGAACCTGTCCTAGAGACTTCCTGCAGTGATGAAGTCCATGGGGTAATTGAATTAGGGTAATAGGGTTGAAACAGTTTGTAATTTAATGAGTTTGTGGATTTCTTATTCCCAGAATTATAAAAGAACCTCTGTGAATGTCAAATTCAGTAATTATTGCACTGAACAGAATTTGGCTCTATTTAACCAACTGGCAGACTCTGTAGCTAACAACATGATTTGATATTTATAAAGAGCCTGTTCCCCACCCCCACTCTTAGAAACAGAAATTCATTAAATTTAAAGGTTTTCACAATTTTGTGAAGAAACTCATTTTTCTGGAATTTTCTTAGTCTCTAAATTAGGCATTATAAAAGAGATGCCATTTCTGAAATATAACCCTTCAGCTTTTCCTGAATTACAGTGACTAGTTGTGGTCCAAGACACTAACTGGCCTGCACTAGATGGATGGATGGATGGATGGATGGATGGATGGATAGATGGACGGACAGATGGATGGATAGGTGGATATGACGCAAAGTCTCTTTAGTGTTAGAGTAATAAACAGTTGAATTCAGGGGACAGAGATGAAATTAGGATGTGGTATAGCTAAGCCATTAACTTTTGGCGTTAGGTACCCACGTGGGTTTCTTTGGAGTAGAAACACAAAAGCATCGTTGTTGCTGTTCCTTGCACTTTCCCCTAGTGGTACCATTGCTAACTGTGCAAAGAGACAGCCGTTGCTCACATTTATATTCTCAGTACTTACGAGGGTATCTTGGCTTCCCCAGCAGCTCTAGAGAAGGCACAAAGATTATTTGCCTTCCTTGCAAGAGGAAGACACCTGGGACCAGAGAGTTTAGGCAACATCCTGTAGAATAATCTGGCCCAAGGTCAGATAACCAGCACGGCTGCAGGATCTGAGATCATAGAGACAGGCGACATTGCCTCCCAAATTGTGCTGCCTCTTCACTGAGGGTCGGGGAGAGTTAGAGCCTTCCTTACAGAAGACTGAAGAAAGCTTCAGTTGAACCGGATGTCTACAATTCTTTGTAGAGTTTTTAAGCCAAGACGGAGGCTTGTTGCCTGGAGAAAGGACTTGTGTAAGGTATCCTCTTTGCTACTGGCGGATCCAGGCAGAACAAGGAGATACCCCGTCCCTTCTGACTGATTCTTTTTTCAACAACATAGAAAGCAAACAGCATCTTTTCTTGTCAGAGAGAACTCATTCAACACTTGTTCCGCATCTCTCCCTCAGGGCCAGCATTCCTGGCAAAGAAAATGAAAGCTGGATAATAAACATCATAGACATTATGAAATGGCTTCTTATCTGAATTCATACTTTCACCCCTTTAGTGCTTTCATAAAGCACTCCAGACTGATAGGATTATCTTCTCCATGACTCATGTGTTCACTCTTCCATTTGCTTCCCCTTTGCTTTTCAAGCTGAGAGCAGATGATGAAGAGAAGAAAATCACTCGTTGGTGCCAGGTGAGGTTTCACTGACACCCAACCTTGTGACTGTAGACCTGAAGAAAAAGTGGCCTGCTCAGCTGCTTTTCATATGAAGCAAGTTCCATAAAAACACAAGCCAACAATGAAGTCTACTCACCGGCTAAGCAATTATCTTCCCTTTTTAGTCGTGAAGTATTGCAGGAAAAGATGACCCTAAAAGAAGCTGAGCATTGCCCCTTCCCTTTACATACTTGGGTTCTTGTATATAACGTGTGGTTGCTCCCTGGACAGTCTTGGCTTACAACTGCTTCCTCAGCATTAGCATAAACAGTACCTTATTTCATCCTCAGAAGTTGCTCCATTTGGATGATAAACACATCCTCTAGTAATAATACTCATTAGATGATGTTTTTGAAATACTCCTAATTCTTGGATATAAATAAAAAGCACAAGCAGCGGAGGTCCAAAAACATGGACTGGCTATTCTGTCTTTATTTTGGAATCACTATTTCAGTCCTTCGGTGTCAGTTTAAGTAAGTTCATCGGGAAAAGGGTAACATTTGATTCTGTATTATTTTTAAAAGTGCAGCCACCATCCAGGGAAGGGAAGATAACCAAACAGGCAAGGTGATTTAAGAAACTGAGCCGGGCGGTGGTGGCGCACGCCTTTAATCCCAGCACTCAGGAGGCAGAGGCAGGAGGATCTCTGTGAGTTCGAGGCCAGCCTGGTCTACAAGAGCTAGAGCCAGGACAGGCTCCAAAGCTACAGAGAAACCCTGTCTCGGAAAAAAAAAAAGAAAAGAAAAAAGAAACTGAGGGATGTTGCAGTAACTGGAGATCACAGCATAGATTGTGCACTTACATTCAATTTTGGAGAGGAGCAAAAAGACAAAACAAGACAGAAGTTCCTTCTGGACAAGGGAAGTGTCTGTCAGAGCAGCCAAAGCCATGGCTGATGTCCTTGATGCCACAAGTCTCTAGGCAGCACAGTGGTCCAGCCCTTGCCTAGCACAAGTGATCTCCTGCGTTCAAACCTCATACTGCCATAAGGAGGAGAAAGGTGAACAGGGAAGGAAATTAGGACTTGAAGTTGCCTTGGCGTTCCATTTTGGCCATCAGTATTTCATCAAGGATGGGAGAGGGGCTCATGAGGCCCCATCCCTATTGCGGAGACCTGGCACCTTTTGGCTGCTTTGGGAAGGGGAGTCAGTCATTTTCTTCAGTGGTACAGTCACCGAGAAGTTGCCCGTGCTCCAATCAGTAATGCTCCATCTATGCTTTAGCAGGCAACCCTAACTCAGTGGATCCCAAAACAAGACAGGAGTTGGGCCCAATGGTGCGTGCCTTTAATCCCAGCACTCTGGGAAGGAGAGGCAGGTGGATCTCTGTGACTTCCAGGCCAGCCTGGTCTATATAGCATGTTCCAGGACAGTCAGGGATCTTGTCTCCAATAAATAAATAAATAAATAAATAAATAAATAAATGATAGACATGAAGATAGGAGGGAGATACGCTGGGAAGAAGGGTTTTAACAGGAAGTAGGCTGGGATGAGAGAGCCGTGAATGGGTGGTGATCAAAATCCATTATGCACCTGTATAAAATTATCAAAGAATAAAAAATGGAACAGAGAGGGAAAAAGAGAGCCTCTAGTCTTAACTTCTAGCCATGCTCCACCCTTTTCTCTTCGATTACTTGGCCTCTACCCTATGCTTTTGTTTTGCTTTGTTTTGAGCCCAGGTCTCACGTAGTCTGAGCTGGCCTGGAACTCCCTGTGCCGAGGATGACCTTGTGTGTGGCCACATCCCACTTTCTGTGGTGCAGGAGCTAGAACCTAGGACCTTGTATCTGTCGGTCAAGCACTCTGCCAACAAAGCTTTATCACTAGCCTCCTGTTGCTTTTTCTTTTTAATTAAATTTTTATTATTTATAATTGTGTGTGTGTGTGTGTGTGTGTGTCTGTGTGTGGGTTGTATTTGTGAGCGCTGGTGCCTTCAGAAGTCAAAGGCAATGGGAACTCCTAGAGTTATAGGTGGTTGTGAGCTGACATGGGTGCTGGGAACTGAACTCGGGTCCTCCAGGAGAGCATCCTGCAGTCTTCACTGCTGAGCCATCTTTCCAGCCTCTGGAGTTTTGTTTTGTTAGACAAGTTTCACTCTGAAGGCCATGATGGCCTTGAACTTGCACCAGTCACTGCCTCCCAAGCATCCGAACCATCACGCCCTACTCACTACCCCACTTCTAAAAGAACCGGACTAGTAGCTTTCTTTGAAAAAGCCATTGTTTGAGAGGTTCATCATTCGGACCAAATCCCGGCCCCCCGTCAGCCCCCATAGCCGGAGCACTTTTCCTTCCCAGGGTCACACACTCCTGTTTTGGCCCTTTCTCTGTAGTGCCGGCATGCACAGGGGTGTAGGGCCATCCACTGGAGCACCTACCAAGGGCTGCATTTGAATAAAACCAACTTTCCCTTCCCTGGCAGCCATCACTTGCCAATAGCTCCTCAGCCCACTGAGATGAAGACTCCTTTTTTTCCCCCTTTTCTTTTTTTGTTAACTATGGCATGCCTTGTGAAAGTCTGGTGTCTGCAACCTTCTAATTACATATCATTTTTGTGCACACTGCCTGAATATGTATGCGTGCATATTTTGATATGGAAGGCGAGCTATTTTTAGTTTCCTTTTGGGTATGTTTTGAGAAACTCCTAACTGTTGCCATGCTGCTATGGGAACAGTATCCACGTACACTGACATGTTTACAATTGTTTAAAACACTATAAACTTCCCAGGGCAAAGGCAAAAGCTTGCTTCCATCTGAACTGCCCTGTGCTTTCTTTTTATTATTAATTTATTTATTACTCCCAGATCCGTGTTGGAATCTGCCTCAACCAATCCGTGTTGCATCTGTCCCTGTACAAAGACTTTTTTCTCTCTGTGATATTTAATTAATTTCACATTCATAACTACAGGACTGCTGAAAGCAAGTGAAAAAAACTTACCTTGAAATCAGAAATATACTTGGCCTTGGTGGAAATTGAGAACTGAAGATGTCATAGATGTCCAGGTAAGAACAGAAATAAGATCCTCTTGAGGCTATACTGACTTTCTAGAATGTTCAGGGGTGGTAGTCCTGGACAAGAGCTAAGGTCTCACCATCATAATTCTTTGCTAAGAGCAGCTGACTTTAAAGACTATTCTAATCATGAGGAAGATGCAAGCTAGAGGCTTCTAGCCTTTTCTAATCAGAGCCATTAGGTATCTGAGGATCGCTTCAATGTTTGGAAAATCAATCCTAAGAGAAATTCAGAAATTAAGAAGAACAAGAACCAAGTTTGTCTGAAGACATTGAAGTGGTGGTTTTCCCAGGGTGTTTTAGAGGCGTGGGAAACTATTTGACAATTGGATTCATCATCACCAATCACAGAATGGTCAGGTCTGACTACATAAAAAGGCACGTGTGCTCGAATAGACCACAGTTTCTTAAAGGATTTTAGACCCACAGTACTTCCTGCCTTACAACACCCTCACATTTTGAGACCCATTTGGGTAAGGATATAGTAAGATAAGTTTAAATTGTCATAACGGAATCAGTTTTAAATCCTCTTCTACTAAAATCTAATTTTTTTTTTGTCATCTTGCTGAAACAATCATTGAAGTCACATGTAAAAGAAAACCAGCTAGTTCTGGTGGGGCTAAACTGTAATTCCAGCGTCCTGGAAGTACCCAGGAGCCTGAGGTGGAAGGACAGGCATGAGTTGGAGGCCAGCCTGGGACTTGTAGCAAGACCCTGTCTCACACCTCTCTCTCCCAACCCCCACTTCCCCACTCCCACCCCCGCCCGACCTTCATCCTCCACACACAACAGACTTCAAATAGGAGTCCTGCCGAAATGGGCACGATTTACGAGCCCTGGCGGCGGTCCTGACCTGTGTGTGTCTGTCTGTCTTGCCTGTGTAGATCAGGGGTTGGAAAGCAATTTCTAGCCAGGATCCTTCCCCGAAAGCATTTATTCTCTTTCTCTTGTGTTAACTCATCTGTAGATATTCCGTTCTAAGTCCTCTCCACCCCCCCCCCTCGTCTGTCTCTGTCTCTGTATGTGTGTGTGTGTCTCTCTGTGTGTCTCTGTCTCTCTCTGTCTCTCTCCTGTCTCTGTGTCTCTGTATGTGTGTGTGTCTCTCTCTGTGTGTCTCTCTCTCTGTGTGTCTCTCTGTCTGTCTCTGTCTCTCTCTCTCTGTGTGTGTGTGTCTGTGTGTGTTCTTCCCCGTGGGAAGGACTCCTCTCTGCATAACTGCAGTTAAGAATGTGACCCCAAAGTCACATTTAGATTAGAACCCTGTAAAACCGGATGAGCTTGCTGAGCTCGACAGTGAGGGAGACTCACAGGTCCCACTGGAGCGGGGGTGGGGGGGGGTGGGCGGGGGTCACGGGAGGGCCTAGCAGGAAGTGAATCTGGGTTAGCGGCTCAGGCCAGGGACCAGGAGACCCAGGCATTAATTCCCCGGGGTACCCGAGGGGATCCGGATGGAGGCGGGAGGCGGGGCTGAGCAGCTTTGCCTGGAGCAGCTGCTAATTGGCGTCTCCATACAGATTCTCTTCGCCAGCAGCTTTTCCATCTCCTTTCTGCTGTCTCTGAGGGGATTTCCCAAACTAACCGTCTCTAACCTTTCTTGAGGGACGGTTGGTGAGGGCAGGTGGAGGAATTTCCCGCCTTCTGACCACAGTGTTGCCTGGAGAGATTTACTGCTGATCTCCATCCGGGGGTTTTCTCTTTGGCACACCACTACTTCCTGATTCCCAGAGGCCTCCGCTCTCTGGGAACTAGAAAGCTATCAAAGGGACAGACAACTTGAACTGTGCTTATAATACAGGGACGCACGCCCCTAGACCACGGTGACATTGAATTTGTAAACCAGTCCCCTCAATCTTGCTGAGAGCTTTGGGCGGACAGTACTGAAGAAGTATCTGGAATGTTCCTTGTCATCATGAGCCACATAAAGTATAATTTCGTTAGATTTTTCTCTCCTGATTTAGGATGAATAGATATGTCTGTGTTCAAAGAAACCACTAGAAGTTGGAGGGACGGCTGAGTGACAGGGAGTGGATGCCCTTGTAGGGGATTGGAGTTTGGTTGCCAGCATCTACGGAGGGCATCTACCTGCACATCTGGCTGCAACTGCAGCTCCGGGGGCAAATGGAGACCCTGGCTTTCACAACCTGCACATATATGCACATACCCACAAAAGCATATACTTAATTAAAAATAAAAATAAATAAAAAGTATTTTAAAAAGTGAAACCTCTAAAGAAATCTGTGCTTTATCAAATAAAGCTTGCCTGAAGATCAGAATCCAGAGCTAGCCACACTAGTTGTCATAGAGGCCAGGCAGTGGTGCCTCCCAGCACTTGGGAGACAGAGGCAGACGGATCTCTCTGAGTTCAAGGCCAGCCTGGGCTACGATGAGACTGTCTTCACTCTTGCCAGGACTTCTCAGCAGGTTATCCAACTTCAGGAGGCTGAGTAACCAGTGCCAGGGTTAGGCTTCCGACCTGTTCTGTTCCAGAAAGCACAACTACAAAACAAGTCCTTTCAGACCAAATCTAGCCCCCCACAATTCTTCTAAGTAAGCAGCCGCAAATTCATCATTAGTGTCCCCTCCCAGACGATGATACACATTATTCTCAAAATCCGCAGATGGCCAAGGGACCACAGTTTAGAGGACCATCAAATGGGGCTGAGTGGGGCCTCTGTTTACCGTTCACAGAATGGCAAGAGCCTTTCCTGAACCATGTGGTGTCCAGACGAAAGATGGAATATTCCAGAATTTCAAAAATAGCCTGGCTCTGTCTTGGTGTCCAGACTGGCACATCTGACAGAAGCTGCCGAGGTTCTAATTTCAACCATCTACAGATCAGAATATTAATGTGAAGCCTTGTTGTTTGTTGAGGAGGGTCTTATGTAATTCCAGCCACCCTCTAACCTTGATTCTCCTGCCTCCACCTCTCACAGGAAGAAACTGCACACCTGTGCCTCCATAGTTGACTCAGTTTCAAAATTGAATACTACCACCAAACCAGACCAAATAACCCTTAAGGATGTTTCTCTCTTTAAATTAAAAATTATATCATGGTTTACTTAATGGGCTATGTAAAATGGTGTGGTGGTTTTCCTGGTATATGCTGGGCCTCATGGTGTGTGAGAAGTGGGCAACAAACAGAATGACCAGCAGATTAGGACTATCTGCCAGCCTATTGTTGGGTACCAAGAACACTGGGAACCTCCAAGGGTGCTGGCTGAATACAAGAGAGATCTATACTGTAAAACAAGCTCTTCACGTGTGAAACCTGGCTGTAGAAAACCTTCAGGCTACCGGTGGCCCAGAATGCATCATGGCTTACCTCCGTGTCTGTTTCTGTGAACTAACATGTAAGAATCAATTGTTTAGTGGAAGATTATCGTATTATTCGAGCCTAATGTAACTCTTGATGTTTTCATGCTTTTGTAGTGCTTACAAGGAAAAAAATCAATCAAAGCATTTTCTTCTTTTAAGCAGTCCCCAGGCAGCCATGGTAAAGATTATTATTATTGTTTTATCTGCTTGATTATTGAAAAATGTTCCATGTTCCTGTGTCCATCTAGTCATGACTGGCTGGGGCTGGCTGGTCTTCGAACTTTTCTGCCTGGAAGGTCAGCAGGTCTGCACATGGTGGCACCGTGGACCGCCCTTTGTCACCACAGCCCTATGTACTGATGTTTCATCCTTCCAGACCCTTTTCCATGAAGGTCACCAGCTCCAGCACTCCCGTGGACCTGGGAGAGGGGGGTCACATCTTCACTGTCCCTCCCAGGTCACCACCGCCATTGCAGTCCCAGTGATCCGTGGTGGGATGTAATGCAAGGCTCCTGGACAGTTGCTAGCCAAGCAGTGAATTTTCCTCACAGGGGCTTTAGCTTCTGATGACCACAATTCTGAAAACAAGCATTCCGAGTAGATTTAAAATGCATCAGCCAAATTTCTTCTCTGTAGTGTATTAAATACGATTCAAATTTTATTCTTACACAATGAAACTGCTCACATAGGAGAGGTAGGATCCCTGCAACCATATCCCTTTTACTCAGAGATTTTACCTCTGGTTGCAGACTCAGCCCTCATTATTACCCTTTCTCAAAGGTATTTTCAGATTAAACGTTGGCTGTGACTTAGATATCAGGTGCGTCTTTGATGGCTGTGGCGAACAACCCAGTAGCAAAACCTACTGCCTCCACCCCCTCCCAAATAAATTAAGCTTTAAAAGTGAAAAAAGACACATGTACCCTTGGGCTGGAAGTTATTAGAGCAAGACGCCAGAATCATAGAAGAAATTACTCACAGAATTAGCGCGGGCATCTAAGAAGCAGTTGCTCTCCTCCCCTCCCCCTCCCTTCCCATCGTCTGCACACTGACTCATTTGCTTTGCTCTTGAGTCTTGGATCCCAGACCTCAGCTGTAGGTGGTACATGGTGTTGGGGAGTGGCAACAGGCGCCTGGCTTCTCCTTTACTCCGAAATGCCTTCTTAGAAAAATGGTAGCATTTGAGAGGGATCAAGGCCAAGACATCTCTCTATTTAAGAGGCCTCATTCTGCATAAGTTATCTTTAGTCACAGAGCTGATTTTATAATTTCTGAACTGTCTTCTGCAGAAGAATATTCACAGTTGTGATCATTCAATAGTAAATTAATTTTCTACCGTTTTCACAGTATTTTGTAGACATTTATTAGGCGTTAGGCATGTTTGCCTTCCTGAAAAAGCAATGCATTCATTTGTCAAGTATTAATTTTTCACATTAATACCCAAAGAAAACATCTAAGAAAAATGCAATTAGCTATAGTGCCCCTTTTTGGTGTTCTTTTAAAAGTAACATTGTCCTAAAATTGAATCTGCATTCACTGTCTCTACTTTCTCTCTTGTTCACACCTCTTAATTCTTTTTTTCCTAAAGGGGTGTTTCACCCACACTACTGAGATTGGCCTTTTTGAAGTCCTTGGACCCCTCTCATGCCACATCATAGGGACATGTGCTGGTAGTAGACAGCCCAGCTGTTGAGTCTTCAGCAGCTTCTTCACATGGCTTTCAGGACACCACCCCTACTCCCCACCGCCACCCTCACCACTGTCATTGTGTCCTCGGCTTCCCTGTTCAGACCCCTTTGCTAGTCTACCTCTTCTCCCTGGCTTCACAATGGTGAAGGGTCCTGGGGTTTGGCCTTCTGGGCTTTCCCCACCCGTCGGTGACCTCCGTGGTCTACGGCCTTGACTATCATACAGCATCCATTAAACACACGTCTCCACCTTTGACTTTCTCCTAAACCTCACACCTTTACCATTGCAGAATGGATATCCCAAACTTAAGTCCAGACCTGAATTTCATCTTTTCTCTTGAAGACTGTTCCACTCGCAGCCTATATCAGCTCAGTGGGTAGTCTCTTCACCCAAAACCTTGGAGTCCTCCTGTATGCCTCTTCCTTTCCCCAAATCTTTTGATAATCCACGCCCAACTAATTTTAAGCACTTCTGCTTTCTCTCGAGATGCAGTACTTCTCTCTTGGATGATGGCAGTAGCTTCCCAACAAGGCTGCCTGTTCCTAGCTGACTACTCTGAGGCAATGTAATGCTTGAAAAACCTAAGTTAAATGTAAGTGCAAGACCTCACAGTGCTGCCCCATTTCACTGGGGTAAAAACGGGTGTTTGCAAAGGGTGACCCATCCCAGACGCTTGGTTCCGCTGTCTCTTTGGTCTCAACTCCTGCTAGTCCCCTGTTCACTTGTTCTCCCCCAGCCATAATCTTACCTGTCCCTCCAATTCCCTAAGACACCTGGGAGCCCTTAATCTGCATGCTCTTCTTATTGTCCCATCACCTCACCTCCTTTCTCAGTGGAGCCTGCGCTGCTTGCACTTTAAAACTGGACCATTCTCCCCATCTGTGCTCAGCACTCCGAGGACCTCACCCTGGCCTCGTATTTCATTTCCCACCTTGTCTTTTATGCATATGTTGAAATGACTTACTGTGATGGAAACTCTAAATACATTTGAATGGAGTTCAAAACCTCCAAGATGGGAATGGCAGGCATAAAGAAAGTCTGTTGGTGTTGACTCAGTAACTTTAAAGGGGATGTATATCTCTCGCTTCCTGGTCACAAAAAATGAGCATATGGGTTTAGATATTCACAGATATAAAGCATTTACAAGAATCTGGTCAGCTCGCGGGCTGCCGTGGAAGGACCCTAAGAGCCCCACTTTTCCCCCATACCCCTCCCCTTTTGGTAATCTCCTTTGAAATCCTCGAATGGCCAGGGTATTTCTGCTCTGGAGGGACTGAAGGGACTTAGCTAGAGGACAGACTGGGTGGCATTTCATGATCAAGCGCCTCATTATTGGCTCTATGCCAGTGTCCAGGGAAAAGTCCCTGGTAGGAGGCACTGGTAGCATTTAGACAGCTGTTGAAGTCACATGACCTGTTTCACTTGGTGGGATTCTGGGTGAAACCATTGACCACCGTGAGTTCAGGTGTGCTGATAGCTACAAATATTACATGTTTAGATCAACACTTCCCTTTGGGGACACTTCATGAAGTATTCTCAGTACTGTGAGGAAAGCTACACATGCTAAAAATTAGCCTTTCTGAAACTGCTCAAGAATATGTTCTGGTGAGGTTGGCCATCACACACTCACGAGGGTGTAAAAATGACGGTGTGATTGGCACAGAGGTTAGAGGCGCTATTCAGCCCACTGCTCTTCATTCTGTAGAAGCCAGTGCCCGGCCTTCTCACGCATGCCCCTTCTGGGGCCTCCTGTGACTTTTCTGTAACAACTGTGTGATGCACATGAAAATAGAATCTGTCTGCAATATGATTAAAATAATTGACATGTATTTCTTAGAAGGCCTTTTTTCCTTTTGAGACAGAATCTTATAAGGTAGACTGGCATAGGACTTCTATGTAGCCCAGGATGTCCTCAAACTCAGGATCCTTCTGCTTCCACCTCCTAGGTGCTGGGTATACCGGCATGCGCTACCCTGATTCTTTGTTTATTGCTTATAATAAAGCTTCCTCCCAACGTAACTCTAGTTGAAGAAATAATTTGTCACTCAAAATATAAGACTAGTATTTTAAACAACTTTTTAAATTAAAAGAATTACTATAGGAATAGAGTAGCATTATGGGATGTTTCAGTACCTATAATTCTATCCAACTGTTCTGGTCATTTGTGCGTATTTCTATCATTTACTAAATGCTTGCAGATTGTTCCTATAACAAGAATGATACAGTATCACAGAAAGATAAAGTCTCTGGGACTGAGGGTTCTTCCTGGTCTTTCCTCATGTGCCCATAACTAAGCATAGAGCTCAGTAGAAACAGGAGCTTGGAAAATTATTGCCAAACTAATGAATTAATGAGTGATTTTTCGGGGGATTGGAAGCTGACTGTGTACAATCAATTGTGGATTGTTTTGTTAGTTCCTGGGGAGAGGTCAAAGTCTCAACACTGGGCAAACATTAATCACTCTGTGACTTCCTCTCACGGGACAGCACGACAGAGAAAAGGAACAGTTCCTGGTAACATGGCTGTGGCTTTGCCTTGCTAGAAACAATGTAACTGATTTCTTTACTTCTCTATTCTTTGTCTGTGAATCATCCGGGCCTAAAATGTCTCTGCCTTTAAGATATTGACTGAATGCTAATAAATGGGAGGTTGAGCTCAAAATAAAATTGCAAATCAGATTTTGAGCTTGATGTAAAAGCCTGGGAGAAGCAGGTTGGTTGCTCATTTAGATTACAAATGTCATCAAAAATAGAAACCAAAAGGTTAGGTAATTTCTAAATTAGACACTCTTTCTTAGAATAATTACCATGTTACTGCATCTGTGTACTTCGGTCAAATTTGAATAACACTTTATTGCTCAGAATAATGTTCTATTCTTGTTGCCAGATAATACTTGACGTAATTGCTCTCAAGCTCCCTGACTGCAGGAAGGGTGTTGGCTCACAAGGCTGGCATAACCTCCGCAGTGAAGTTTAATTTTGCTGGAACTTTTCAGTCACAAAAAAAAAAAAAAAAAAAAAAAAAAATCCTTCCCTCCTCTGTTTCTTCACAGGCATGAGACCTGATCTTCGTTTGGTTTACTAAATCTAATAAGTAACCACTGGCGCATCCCTCAGGGTAGGAGATTGTGTCCATCACCTTTCCATAAGAAGCGCACGGTGAAGGAGCAGGCTGTCAGTGATCAGTTGAGAGGTCTTGGATGGAATCGTTACAAGCTCTCATGGTAGCAGACGGTGCTAGGACGCTATTTCCGTAGCAAATAACCCTGGTCAGTCTGGACCATTGTGATAGTGGAGCCAGTAGAAGGTGCTTTCCTGCATTTGATGCTTCCAGGTCTGAGGCAGAATTTAAGAAATGCTTATCCATCTCCCTTTATAGTGTGACACCTACAGAATAACGCAGATTTTTCCTCAAGTGGCATCAACTTGACATAGGAGGCTCATTCCTCATTAGCACGACAGCATCGCTTTTATAACAGATATCCCACATGACATAAATAAAACAGTAACTGTGTATTTAAATTTCAGTTACAGGGTGTGGCGGCTTGAATGGGAATGTCAAAGGTTCATCTGTTCGAACACGTTGTTCCCAGTCGGTAACTATTTGGGGGAGGTTTAGGAGGTGTGGCCTTGCTGGGGGGGTGGGCTTTGAGCATTTAAAGCCCCACCCTATTTGCAGTTCACTCTCTCTGGTTTGTTCTTTTGATTCAAAATGTGTGCTCTTGGCTTCCTGCCAGAGCCACCTGCCTCTGTTGTGTGTTCACGGATTCTTATCGCTCTGGAACCATAAGCCAAAGTAATCTCTCTTCCTTGGCTGCCTTGGTCACAGGGTTCGATCACAGCAACGAAAAAAAGCAACTACAACCTAAGGTCATAAATCTGAGTGGTTTTGCTAAACTCTCCTTTACATTTCTTAATAACGACTGCCCTTTTTCTTCCTGAGTTAGAGAGAATTGCACTGGATTTTTTGCTTCAAAGTTGCTAATAGATTTTAAAGAACTTCATCACACAGGAAAAAAATAAAAAAGAATTGGTAGGTGAGAGAGAACCAGGCTCACTGTTTATCACTGAAAAAATACCCAGGAAAACTAACTTAAAGATGGAGAGATGCATTTTGTCTCCTGGCTTTAGGTTTCCACCTGTGGTCTCTTGGCTTTGCTTCCTATGATGGGGTAGGATATCGCGGCAGGGAGCATGTGGTGTAGCGTGCTACCAGACCAAAGAAGGGGCCTGGGTAAGATACAGCCTCTGAGGCCACGCCCCAGAGGATTCCCTTCCTCCAGCTGGATCCAGCTGCTGAGTTTCTATCACTTTTCAACAGTCTGTCAAATCTGGACTCCATCAATGGACTAGTCTGCTCCTACCAGAGCCCTCAGAATCCTGTGACTTCCTCTGCTGCACTGAGGGTTAAGCCTTGAATATATGAACCTCCAGGAGACATCTCGCAACCAACTATAACAATAAATTAATTATCCCGATGGGCTCTTTCTACCATTTCTATCATTCTAGACCAGAATGTCTTATTGTACTTTAGAAATAGGAACAATTAGCCGGGCAGTGGTGGCGCATGCCTTTAATCCCAGCACTCGGGAGGCAGAGGCAGGCGGATCTCTGTGAGTTCGAGACCAGCCTGGTCTACAAGAGCTAGTTCCAGGACAGGCTCCAAAGCTACAGAGAAACCCTGTCTCGAAAAAACCAAAAAAAAAAAAAAAAAAAGAAAGAAAAGAAAAGAAAGAAATAGGAACAATTATTTGTTAATATAAAATAAACTAAATAAAAATGAAATGCTTTGACTCTGAAGAGATGGCTCAGCATAAAAGCTCTATTCTTCCAGAGGACCCGGGGTTCAAATCCCAGCAGCCACATGGAGGCTCACAACTGTCCATAACTGCAGTTCTAGGAGATCAAGCACCCTATTCTGGTCTCCGAGGGCACCAGTCCTGCGAGTGGCGCATAGACATACCTTTGAACAAAACAGTGATACATATAAATGAAAGAAAAAAAACCCAAACACTCACATCATAAAAATAAAAAATTGATTTTTATTGAGTTCTACATTTTCCTCTGCTCCCCTCCCTGCCCCTCCCCTCCCCTTCAACCCTCTCCCAAGGTCCTCATTCTCCCAGTTTACTCAGGAGATCTTGTGTAGATTAGATCTATGAGTAGATCTATGTATGTCTCTCTTAAAGAGGGACTGGCCTAGGCCCTCCACATATGTGTTACAACTGTATAAGTTTGTCTTCAGAGAGACGCCTAACAGCGAGAGCAGGAGCTGTCTGCCCGTGTTGCCTGTTTTGAGGACCTATTCCTCCTACAGGATTACCTCTCCAGTCTTTTATTTTTATTTTGGTTTTTTGAGACAGGTTTCTCTGTAGCTTTGAGGCTTATTCTGGAACTAGCCCTTGTAGACCAGGCTGGTCTCAAACTCACAGAGATCCACCTGCCTCTGTCTCACCCAGTCTTAATAGAACAGGAGGAGCTTAGTCTCAAGGCTAACTGATGTCCACAGGAGGCAAGGAGTGTGTGTGTGGGGGGGAACTGGGAAGAGGGAAGGGAGGGGAACTTAGATTAGGATGTAAAACCAAACAAAAATAAATAAATAAAACAATTTTTTTAAAGAAATGGTTTTAGTCTTGCACAGTTTGCAAATGAACACACAGAGCAGCTGTTGGTCCGTTAGTGCGTGTCTTCTTACTCTGCAGTGGTAGAAACTACGATTTTTTTTTTTTAAGCTGGGCAAACTGGTGTCCATGAAAAGGAAAGAGACTGTTTCCCTTGGAAGGGATTGAGAGGACAAGACGTGGAGTTTCTCTCGTCTGAAGTGCTTGGGACCAGAAGGACTCTGGACTTCAGGTTATTTAAATATTTGCTTTTCTGTTTGTTTTTTCCGCTTTTCTTGAACTCATGAAATAGCTGGGGATGACCTTGAACTTCTGGTCCTCCGCCTCCATTTCCTGGATTACAGGTGCTAGGCAAGATGCCTACTGGTGGAACTACATCCCCAGCCCCCTTGCACTCCTGAAACTATGATACGTTTTGTGAATGGGGCACAAGTTCAAACATGGAATTATTTTTCAGATACTCCTAGCCTTAAGGCAATTTTATAAAGTATTTATAATAATTTGGAGCGTGAAATGATGTTTCATGATGTGGGATTTTCCAACTGTGGTGTCATTTCAGTGTTCAAACTCTTTCCAGTTTGGGAATTCGGGTTGCTCAACTTGGATATGTCGTCTTTTGGAATTTTCCTTAATGACAATTGGTGTGTACCTCTTGCCGCTTCTTAGCACCTCCCTTCTGCTGCTGCCTACAACAGCGTATGTGCTCGCTGCCATACTGGGCCATGGAGTCAAGGTTAACTAGTACTGTATTTAGGGGCCGGGATGCCAAACCACATTCCTACCTTTAGAGTTTCATAGGGAAGGCACATATTGTCTAAATGTCTGTATTTCCCCAAACAAAAAATAACCCTAATGCAATCAGTTACTTAGAATGGAAATGTTGACCTATGTCTGACATAATAAATTTGTTTAGTCAATACCTATGGGCTTACCTGCCCATCCTTCTCTCTCTTGAAGAATCTATCTGCTCCTGTAGGTATAATGAGAACTCCTTAGAACACGGCCCCACTTCTGTCTGAGGGATGATTCTAACCTTGATTAGGAAACCAAAAGTTATCTCTAAAACTTGAAAATCAGACTGAGAAAATGAGGCATTAGTTTGAGAGGGAAGCCTGACACCCCTGGAGAGACTTTCAATTGCATTTTCCACTGGGTATTGGAAAACGTAAAACCAGGTAGAGGAGAGAAAAGCCAGAGATAGAGATAGAAGCAAAGATTGGGAGAAGGTGGAGGGGAGATGGTGGAGCGGCTAGAAGCTGTTACCCACGTACTTACCATCCACTCTGCATTTCTCGTCGCTTGCTGTGTGCGAGCCACCCACCTTTACCCAGGCTTCCACGTGGGTCAAAAATGCACTCCGCTCCAGTGATACACACGTGTTCTAAATTGGCACAGTCTGATTGAAAATTTCTCTTCCGTACCTAGGGGGAAAACCACTCTTTCTTTTGCCAGAAGGGAACATGTCGGTGTGTTCCGGTAGAAAAGGTGGCCAACCTACAGGCTGCTCTTTGCCAACCCCTGTGTGAGCCAGTTTGAATCTATTTTCCATTACTTGTTGCCAAAACTACTGTATATGATATATAGGCTCATGGATTTGGGCGGGCATGCCGCATCTTGCCCTTCGAGTCTCTAAAGACGTTCAGTATCTGAAGATGATAGCCGAAGTCTTTAAGAACAGGTGTGGTGTGGACAGTAGACAGCCACACACATGTGGATAACTATATGGGGGAGCTGGCTCATAAGCACTGTGCTGTGATCCCTTCAGTGGGTCCTCTGTCTTTCTTACTAGCCAAGCCCCTCACCAGTCTTTCTGGATTTTGTTTTTTGGAATTCCCCTTTGATGATTTTAACCTATTTCTTTGGGTAAGATACTGATCAGATTTTTAAGAAATATAATCTCTTTTTGGTTCTCCTTTTTTTTTTTTTTTAAAAAAAATTGGTTCAGTATTTTTGTGCCAGAACTGTGACATTCCTTTTCAGAACTGGATAGATTTAAAATTTTCCCTGATAACGAGCTCTTTTTATTTCCCTGCAGGCCTGATGATCAATAACACAATCTAGCACTTGACACATGGGGTGCGACTGTAACGTCACCCAAAGATGCGAGCACAGATACCAGAACGCAGGCAGCCAATGCGTTCCATCCGCTGCCTTCACAAGCAGGAATTAGACCCCAGGAATGCTGCCATCTCTTCAAGAGTCATTCAAATACCTCCCGTGTCCTCACTAACAACTAACACCGATGGGGAAGTGCCACATTGTCACCAGGTTTGGCTCGGAACGAAGTCCCACCATTTGCCCATAAAGTAGATCCCCTTAAATATTTGTCATCCCTGAGAGCTTCTCTTTTCCCTTCATTCCTTCTTTGCTCCGGGGAACGCGAGGCACTTAGCTGGGGAAGCTGCTCTTGTAGTTGCTGTGAGATTAAAGTTTCCATCATCATTGTCTTCATAACTAGACAGGGAAGAAAATAAGGAAGTCAGCTATAGTGTGGCTCCTGTTGGCTCAGTCTTTGCCAGTCCCTGCATGCGAATATAACCCGAGTCTCCAGGCTTTGCCCTGCTCACACAGGTAGGCACTTAGGTTTTTCATGTGGAGGCCCACAAGAACCACTTAGATTGTCCACTTCAGCTCTCCCCTCTCAAAATCTGTTGCTTTGCAGCCACCATGACGCTGACAGTCTGTGCCTTCTTGCTTTTTGATTTGTATATTATCAGAACTTTCATCTAATGTGGAGGAAAGCAATATTATTCATTGTACTAGTTTAGGCTTCTCATACTGTTTCCCTCAAGATTCTAGAAGATGTTTTGACAATGGAGGAGACTCTGTGACAGGTGACTCGCAGTGTCTGCAGAACGACTCACAGCAGAGACTCGGTTTTGTTTTCCAAACTGACCTGCTAGACCAGTAGGCTGTGGAGGGATTGAGGCCACTTGTCCTTCTCCAGCTCAGTGTCCTACTTCATTTCTGTTGTGGTGATGAAATATCCTGGTGGCTAGGTTGTTTTGTCAACTTGACACAGTTCTCTGGGAAGAGAAACCTCAGGAGAGAAAATTCTCCTATCAGATGGCCTGTAGGCAAGCCTGGGGGCCATTTCCTTGATTAATGATTGGTGTGGGAGGGCCAGGACCATGGGAGAAAAGAGAGAGAGGAGGGGGGCAGTGATGTCCATGGGCAGGTGGTCCTGAGTGGAATAAGAAAGTGGACTGATCAATCTATGAGGAATAAGACAGCACTCCTTCATATTGTCTATTTTAGTTCCTGCCTGCAGGTTCCTGCATTGGGCTCCTGCCCTGACTTCCAGCAGTGACAGAGTATGACCTGAGAGTTATATATTAAATAATCCCTTTCCTCCCCAAGTTGCTTTGAGTCATGCAATAGAAACCCTGACTCAGGAGCAACTTACCGTCCATCGATGTGGGGAAGCGAGCGTGGCAGGGGTGTGAAGCAGCTGGACACAGCACACCCACAGTAGAGAACAGAGAAGTGAATACAGACCTGCTCACCAACGTGTGTGCTTGGGGCCCTTCCACTGTTAGAGCCTCCTGAGTGGGGCTGCCACAGAGGGCTGGGTCTTCCCAAACCAGTTAGCTTAATTAAGACAATTCCCACAGTTCTATCCACCGGCCAACTGGTGCAGACAATCCCTCACCAGAAGCCCTCCTCCCAGGTGATCTGGGTTGCCAGGTTGACAGATCTAGCCGTCGGGACTCAGCCAGAGACATCGGCTGCCTCCCTTTCCCCCTTTCCTTTCCTTTCTTCCTGCCTCCCTTCCAGTAGTTTCTCAAAGAGCACATTCTACTTCCCACTTCCAGATCGCAACACTGAAACTCTTATGAGAGGAGAAAAGAATTAACCTTCCAGTTAGCATCTCTTTGTGATCCCCCTGTTTTCCACATACAGGGGTAGCATGGGGGGATGGCACAGGGCCACAGTTTGTTTTCTGGGTCCAAATGTAGGGATATCTGGACCCCCTTATTCTCAAGTCCTTGATAATCACCGTATTTCAAAATCCTCCCCGCCCCCATTCCTGTTTCTAAAAGCTTAGGGGCCAGCAAGGTGGCTGAGTGGGTAAAGGAACTGGTTACCAAGCCTGAGGTCCTGAATCGGATCTCCAGGACCCACACAGTGGAGAGAAGCAATCGTATGTGTTGTCCTCTGACCATGCAGATGCACGCACACTAAATAAATTTAAGGTTTAAAATGCATTCTCTAAGAACCTAAGGGCAGCCCTTGTGATCCATTTCTGGGAAGCGGACATCCTTGAAGTCCTACCACAACCCAGACTTCAGCTCCATTTCCTGATTACTTACAGCCATATAGTGGTAAGAACGGCACTAGATACACAGGCAGGGCAGAGCGAATGAGCAAAGAAGGAAACAGGAAACCAGACAGGAGGAGACAGATGGTATCAGGAAGAAAAAAACTTTGATAAAATCCTGCCTGCTTTGTATTTTTGTCTTTTACTTGCCCTCTGTACTTTTTCCTTGAAGCTTCCTGGCAGTTTCAGCAGTTCCGTCTAAGTATACACTGACTGAATCGTGATTGACTGAGAATTAACCCCTGGTGGATTCCCGCTCTTCTCCCCACAGACCTGGCTTTGTTGTACTGATTTTGGTCTTTGCTCAGCCAGGGATAGGAGAGGCTTGCCAGTGAGATCTCACATCAACGACTACTTAGGGACTGCACAGTGTGCTGAACATAGTGACAGATGGGGCCTGCGGGGATGGACAAGGTACACCTCCAAAGAAGCGCTCAGGGCAGTCCTGGAGAGGACTGGGCAGTGTCACAAACATCAGGAAGGTAAAGTGGAAAGTTCGTGTTGTCCAGGAAGGTCACATGACTTGCTACGAGACCATAGAGAAGTCTATAGTGTGAGCTCAGAGAAGGTTCCAGAGAGGAACTTGAATGCGGGGGCATGTAGCAATGGAACAAATCCAGTCTACTAAGGAATGCAGGTAGTAGATGCTTCCAGAATTCTCTTGCATCTTTTCTCCATCCCATGGCGGTCTCTTCAAACACTGCATATGCTGTCTCTAAAATAGAACTTCCCAGCCAGCACTGCTCATAAGGACTGTGACAGCAGAACTGTGGCCTGGCATGTGTCTGCACTAAAGAGAGGTTTTTCATTGAACAATGCTTCTGGCAGTATTCTAAAGAAATGATTAAAGTAGCACTCTGCATGCGAATCATTCCGTCCAATTCTGCATGCAAAGCAGATGGCTGCTAAATGTTCCATTCCTGGTATTGTTTGTCTTATAAATGCTAACGAAGAGCTGAAATGGAGGATTCCATTACATTGAAGGAAACTTTCTCTCCCTATTACAGGCTTTCGACTAACCAGCGAGCTCCCTGCTCCCTGGGGCTATGCTCCAAGGGCACGCACATTCCAGAGTGATTAGCCTTTCCTCTGTTGCTACTAGCAGCCCTAAAAGCCATGGAAATCAATACATAAATAAATAAAATTATACATAAAATAATTTATCCCTGACAGTTTAACATTTTCTATCGATCTCTCCTGGAATAGGACTTCCCCAAGGAGCTTTATTCTTTTAAGAGACAACCAGGCACCGGAGTTTTGAAATGCTTTGGCAGCAGTTTTTTATGAAAAATAACAAGAAACCCTAGACAGTTTCAGAGTTTCACTGAGATGTGCAGGAGGAAATTACACTTGTCTTCCTGAGCCCTCAATGTGCCCGGAAGCAGAAGCCTGCCTGAGCCCACAGTGCACCTCTGTGCCCGGAAGCAGATGCTCTGTCCCTTGCCATGCATCTGAAGAGTACTGTCAGTTTGCAACTTCTGGGAGTCCGGTGGGCTCCTTGTCTCTTTCTCTTATCCTAAAACCGTTGTCAACTGGCCACACAACCTTAGACTGCACATCTTCAAAGAACAGCAGGCGGACGAAGTTTCTACAGGATCCATCTTTCACGTGGGCTTCAGCTGATGATTTGCAAATCTGTCCTGGGAACTCCATCATAAGCAGGTTCTGGGTCTGAACTGAGGCCAACAGGTACCAGTTGCTAAATGCTGTGGGACCTTGAACTTACTCTTTTTCCTAATAAGAGCAGGGAGCTACACTTGCAAAGGCCACTTGATGACACGAAGTCCTGAATGGATGCCTGGCCCTGTGTCTCCACCCCTTCGGAGTGGATTTTGAAAGTTACGACGCCATGACATTACGTCATGTTTAAAGGGGTAAGGACGCCTTGAGGCGTGAACTAGAGGAATGGAGCTCTATGTGTGTCTCAGGGAGGTGAAGGGGTGGGCAAACCGAGGAGGAGTTGAAACAACGCAAGTTCATCTGTTTACCCCCACCCCTTTCAACCCATCCTGCAGAGCTCAAAGCACAGGAAATACAAATCACAATAGCAAACCCGACACAGAAATAATCTGTTCCATAGAAGGCAGACATTGGATGCATTCTACTCAGGCCCCTTATTTTTGTCGGGGAATTTTTACTCCAAGTGACCCCCACACACAAGGGATATAGCTGTTGAGCATTTCCCGACAGAACATTATCTCTCATTGTTCTTTGTGTTCAAAGATACTCTGGCAATGATCTTCCTATTCCTGTCCAAGAGTCTGGCAAGAAGCCCTAAGATGTGACCTAATTTCTAAATAGCTTGTCCTTCTGGTGAGCTAGGAGTCTTAAAACTTGCTGCATTTTATGACTCAAACCTATAGGATCTTACAGACGGTGAGGAAAGAGTTGGGAGGGCAACAGAGATTTCTACCTGGATTACTTTGTGTTATTAGATGATTTTTTAAAATTCTTTGGAGGTATAATAGCCTCTGTCTATTATTCAAAGGGATGGGGGCAGAAACAAACACATTAGCTTTGCTTTCTAAGAGATGGGCTCTTGAGAGCCTAGAAGTAGAAAATCATTAGGTGATTTGTGGCTAGATCTAGGACACATTTTGATATTATTTATAGTCGAGCCGGCCTGGAAGGAGTGGGGGAACGTGTATGTGCCGACCTGTCTGGTCATTCCTTCCATCCTGAGTGGTTCTTGAAAGTCAAATTATAACATTGCATTATGCTTCAAAGGGAAGGGCGCTTCAGAGAAGAGGCATTTACTAACCCCTTGAGGGATGGCTATGCATCCATCAAATGACAGATGGAATTGGGCTCTCACAATGTAGGGGTGTTAACAAGGATGGGGGGTCACCATGGAGCCACGGAGAATCTTAGAGCAAGCGGTCGTAGCTTGGCACAAGAAGGGAGGCACCGGGTAGATGATCTCAACCATCAAGAGAGGAAAGGAAACGGAAATGAAAAGTGGAAGTCTTCAATCCTTAAAAGAGGTTCTGGCTCTAATTTATATGCAGCACATTGCCCAGCTCACCAGCGTCTTGGAGCCTTGCCTCGCTGGTGAGTGGGCTCCATGTTCGGCCGTTCTAGTTTATGGTGTGTTAAATGCACACCTCACTTAAAAAAACCATTCCCGTGTTACTGAAAGGGAAACCGAAGTTTATACAGCTGATAGAAGGCAGAAGTAGAGTTGAACACAGGAGCAGACGAATCGCCTTTATATTCCTCATGCTTTATGGCTCCAAAAGAATGGATTTTTTTTTTATTTTTTCAAAATTATCCGGTGGGAAGACATCCTCGAAGAGATCTGTTCCTGGCTTTCTTTTCCAAATCTTAACATAATGGCGTTCGATCCTTACAAAAGACGATACTGTAAACGGAGTCATAATTTAAGGTCAGGGGGTTTTAGCCGTGAGACGTGCAGTGTGGTACCTCCTCCTTTACCCAGCATTCCTAGCCGGAGACTGACAGCTTCCCCGGTCGGGTTCTGGCCCATCCAGCAGAGTCTGCTCTGTCCGGATCCAGCTGCTAAAAGCAGCAACCAGCGAGGGGGTCAGCAACAACTGGGATTTCCATTCCTGGCTCCAAAGCTTTCGATCCTGGGAATCTAGGGAAGTGATGGGTTGCAGGCTTCCACTCATTTCTTCCCATAAACTTTCCCACACCCATGTGACGTGACAGAGTTCCTTTGTGACCAGAGCTCTATATTAAAAAACTGTCCTGCCTGGATGGGCCCACGACACCGTGTCCACTCCTGAAGGCAATGTGGAGAGGGCAGCGGTGGCTATCAGTACAGCAGGTTTACCTGTCTGCAGCCTCTCTGCATGCATTCTTCCTTAGGTTTTTGTCTGTACTGACCTGTCTTCTTCTTTATTTTTAATTTGGGGCAGGGCCTCACTATATAGCCCAGCTTGGTGTCAGACTCACCATGTGGCCCAGACTGGCCTTGAACTCATAATTCTCCTGTTTCATTCTCTGAGGCCTAGGGTGGAGGTATCAGATATAAAATTTGGAATTTTATACAGTTTGGGAAAAGGTAGAAAAAGCCTGAAATTTCTCCAGGTAAGAAATGAATGGGTACCCGTAAAACAATGTCAGAAAGTATCAACAGCTGAGATCCATGGTTTAAAGGATCATGTGGTCCATGCACGTTATTTCCCTCATGGGATCTTCATTTTGTGTTAGGACCAAGAGATGCTTTACAGGTCCACATATACAGATGTGTACAAAGATAGCTATGTAGACATAAACAAATGCACACATGAGTAGTTGGAAGTACCTTTGTGCTTAACTATGACTTTTGTTCTAATTAATTTATAGACATAAAGTTGTGAAATTGGGGAAATTCTAAATGGTGGCATCTTAGGACATCAAGGTGTCATCTGCGTTGGGCGGGTAGTCAACTTCAGTGAGTTAATCATCATGGCTGGAAGCACTGTACTGAAGGGATTGCCAGGCTAGCTTAGCTCTGCAAGAAAAAGAGTGGTCATTGATTAGTCATGCCTGACCAGCTAGGAAGCATCATGAACTCTAAGACTGGGATACTGGTTTCTCTGGTGCAACAGAGTCTTCTGCTCTTTTCTTCACACTGGGTTCCACCCCCTACTCCCCATGGAATTACTATGAGTACTTGTGCGTTTGCTGTTCTCCAAGAATGTTCATTGCATTGTTGAACTCCTCTTCTATGTGTTGAATTACAAATGTATCCCATAGTAACTCCTCTCTATCTCGTGGTAATCATTTGTTCTAATCCTGCTGTTTGGTGCTCTGAGGATCAAGGTTATGTCATTCTACACACCAACAGCTGTCGTGGAACTTCTTCTTCTAGATAAAAGCATCATTTCTTCCATGCATTTCTCTGATATTATTGTTTGGGGTCTTGAACCATTCTAGAAGTTAGGTAGTTTTCCCCTTGCTCTTTCTCAAGTATACTAACCGGAAAGGACCGGGGAATTTTAAATAGGATCTGACCAACTAGAGTTAATTGAGATGGTTCGTTTTAGCTTAAGATAATGTCAATTATCTTAAGAAGCTTCAGTTTGTCCCTGAAATATAATATTTGGTTATTATATGTTACTTTTTCAGTAAATTAGAATTTTATTCTTTTCTTTCATGATTTATATTTGAATTAAAAATATTTTTTGTGTTTGAGTGTTTCGTCTGCATGTGTATTTGTATGCCATGTGCCTGGTACTTGTGGAGGCCAAAAGGCAGCCTGGGTCCACTGGAGCTGGAGTTATGAAGGGCTGTGAGCAGCTATGTGGGTGCCAGGAATTGAACCCAGGCCCTTTGGAAGAGCAGCCAGTGTTCTTAACCACTGAGTTATCTATCTAACCCTTTACATTTCACTTTTACCTTTTAAAATACACTGTTAATATTGATTGCCTTTTGTTGGTACCTACGTCACATGTTTTTTTTTCTTCAGTATGCATGAAGAACTTACTCTATTCCTATTTTGCAATTGTGAAGCTGAAACCCAGGAATGTCCAATGCACTCACACAGCTAGTAAGAGGCAGAGCATAGCATGAAAGGCATGCAGTTCCCAAGGCATGCTCGTACTGCGTGTTCACACGTACAAAGATATGCATGTAGTCATAAACAAATCACTCACGGGTAATTGGAACTACCTTTGTACTTAATCCAGTTTTTATATGTTTATGTCTAGCCTCTTTGACTTTTATAAGCTCAGCTAGGAGATTTTGAATATCAATTCGGCAGGGGACAGGGAGGAGCATGGAGGAGGCAGAGAGACTTTTTATTTGATTTGATTTTTGGATTGTGATAAATTTCAGATCTTCATTGAAATTATTTTAAAGGAATAAAGTCTGACCAGTCCTTAGAAAATTTTTTTTTTTTAAGATTTGTTCATTTTGTGTGAGAGAGAGTTTTGCCTGCATGCCTGCATGTGCACCATGTGTATGCCTGGTTCTCTTGGGAGCCAGAAACCCGTGTCGATACCCTGGGACTAGAATTACAGAGGGCTGGAAGCTGCCATGTGCGCTGGGAGCTGAATCAGAGTCCTCTGCAGGGCAGCAAAATGCTCTTAATGCTGAGCCGCCACTTTGACCTCGCCCCTTCCTCTCCCCACCTCCTTAAGTTCTTATCGGATCCCAGTGGCCATCTTGTAAACTTTCTCTCTAGTTTCTTGT